AGAGTCGCACACAGAGGGAAATAATCCACTATTCTGATTAGAGATTAACAGAAGCACTAGTTTAATGATCTGAGGCTTGTGTTCATTGTTTCCTCTGAATTATTTAAGTAAAAACTCCTTTAAAGTAACCAGATGTTGATTTTTCGAGATTTTTTTTGTGTTTTTCTCAGAAGGAGCCGTTCTGGTTGCAGATGTTGTGACTGATGTGGGGTAGTTGCTACGTTACTTCGGTCCTGCAGCTCCTGGGAGTCGGAGGCACAAAGTGATGAAACTGATGCTGATGAAACTGAGCGGCAAGACATCAGTTCACCTGCTGCAACTTCACATTAAAGTTGCAGCTAAAAGCTTCAACCCCTGTTGATTAGAATTTAGATTAAATTAAATCATTTTAATGTTTGGAAAGTTAGAATCTGACTTTTTCCCCTCAGCCATCGTGTACCCTTTTMGGTCAAACCTTYAAAATAWCYTCATGTGAGARATTTTGAATCACGCTCAGTTGTCTGTTTTCTACATATTTTTCTMACTTTAATCGAAAGGAACAGATTTCTGGAGCAGAAACATAAATATTTCTGTTGCTCTTTTAATGTTTATGACATCATGACATCCTTTAAAATAAACATGGAGAACACCTGGTGATTTTTGATCTGAACAGCGTTTTTAAAAATGTAAATTAATCTTGTCTTGTCTTTACAGCTGGCCCTGCCTTCATCAAGTAAGTACCTGCCTTTGTTTATATACAAATACACAAAAATACTGTGTTTAATTAAATGGTTAAAAAGGGGCGGTAAATCGCAAATTTCAAATTATTTCAATATAGAGCTTAAAGTACCCGTGACATGCATTTCCTTCAAATATAAAAAGTCAAACTTATTTATACTTGAGAAACGTGATATAATACACATGATTTTACCTATTTTGTTACATACGTGGCAAATTTTCTGTTGAATTTGGCTCAGCCAAAGTGAAACAGGAAGTGACATCAAAGGGGAACTCTTCAATAAAGAACTTCCTGTTTTGTTTTTTTTAATTATTTTATCTCTGAGTGACTCAAAATAATCTAAAACATCAGATTCCTCTTTTCAGTCTGTTGTTAGCTGTTGTAGCGACGCTCTGTTTACGTGCCGACATTCTCCAATGACATCACTTCCTGTTACTGCACATGTGAATATCTCAACAACTGTTCATCACAGCATTGTGAAATTTTTTTTGCAAAATGTTATCAATGTTACCTTTCCAAAAATGTATTAATATTCATTTAAAAAAATTGATGTCACACTTTAAAATCTGTTTTTGTTTTACTTTAGAGGAGCTTTAAAGTTTATTATGAATGTTTTCCATAGATGGAAAGAGTTGAGGGAAAAATGTTAAACTTTAATAACTCATTAAGATAATTGTTACAGATGAGTCTCAGTATGACCAAGACATCAGTTTGAGCTGAAATCTTTATAATTTTTTAGTTTTATTCACGCAAATTTAAGACACATTAGTGTTTCTCTGATTTACATGGGTGATGTTTTTATATTTTTTTATGTATAATTTTGGTGTTTCTAAGTGTTTAAACACTGCAGCAGTCTGGTTCCTGTGTTTGTTTTTTATAAACATGCCTGGTAGTTTTGTGATTTCGGCAGATTTAAGTCTTTATTTTGTGTTGTCAGTGGTTGGAGACGCGGCCCAGCAGGCAGCAGTGCCCGGTGTGTAAGGCGGGCATCAGCAGAGAGAAYGTCATCCCGCTGTACGGCAGGGGCAGCTCCAGCCAAGAAGACCCCAGGTACGGACTCGCTGTTTGGCTCCGTTCTGYTGTCCGGGCTGCCGTGTGACCCGTGTTTCTGTTGTTCAGGTTGAAGACTCCGCCTCGACCTCAGGGACAGAGAACAGAGCCTGAGAGCAGAGGAGGGGTGAGTCCGGGGTTTGTCTGTAGACMTTTTGATTGTCCTTTTAAAACCTCCCTGATGTTTGTTTGTTTGTTTGTTGTGATCAGATGTTCCCGGGTTTTGGAGAAACCGGATTCCACATGTCGTTTGGAATCGGCGCATTCCCCTTCGGCTTTTTCACCACAGTCTTCAACGCCAACGACCCGTTTCACAGACCAGGTAAAGACCTGAAAGTTGTGTTCCGGTTTGTGGAGGTCATTATCAGTGTGCATTGCCAATTGTGATTCGTTTCCCATCCAAGTCATCTCCACTTTGGCACACTTCTCCTCCTGCATACTTTGTCCAGGAGCTGCCATTGTAATTTGTGTCTGTAAAGCTCCTATGCCAAATGATGGCTATGCCTTTTGGTGCCTGTACAACTTATAGTTTTTGAAACATTAATGTTTAATAATTTATAATGMGAGTCAATGGAGCCTTGTATTGGTCCAATACTGCCCCCTGCTCTATCTACTCAGTACTGAACCATAGTTTAATAATGTTTAATCTGAATAGTTCAGTGTTTACAATACTAATATGATTGTATTTTGATATTTTGCTATAATATTGTCCTAATATTGCTCTATTGCTGTAATATATTGCAGTTTAGTGTCAACAATTGCATTGGCAATGTGGCCTCTTTCTGCACACATACAAACCAACCCTTGGCAGTACCCTCTGCCACAGTTCCAATGGTCTCATGGTTAACTCTATGGGCTTTCATGTGGGAGATCAGGGTTCAAAATCCAGCTACAGCAACTTTAACAAAAAATCTCTACAAACTTCATTTTGTTACACAACTATGTTCATTASAGACACCTGCTGACTTGACAAGCACAAGCTGGCAGAAAACACATTTGAACTTGGTCACATAAAGTCCACTGCTGCAGGCAAAGCCACGCTGCAATGACATGCTACATGGCAATGCACACTTGTTTTTACATCGTAAAAACCCATGTCTAGTTCTTCTTGTGATCAGGCTTAAAGGAGACATATCCTGCTTTTAAATCCTTCTTTTCCACATTTAAATAATTCAGTTGGGGTCTATAGTGTCTCAGATGAACTCGTTTTGAGGCTGTCTCTTCAGATCTAAATAAGGTGCTTCAAGCCCCGCCCCCCTCCAGCTTCCAGACCGGTCCATGCTAGCTTGATAGAGGGGTTTATGACTATATAGCAGCGCAGAAGCTTTATTTACAAATGAATTAAAAGATGTCAACAAGGGAAGACTTGTCCATCCAGCCTTACATGTTGGACCCAGAACCAGAGGAAATCGCAGTTTTTAAGTCCAGACCTTATTTAGAAATGTTGTCACAAATAATTTGACATAATAGTTCAGAAAACTGAAGAAAAAAAAGACCCAAACAGAAGACAGGTGTTCACAAAGCACCAGGAGACTACATTTTTCTGCACTAAAGWCTCCAGGTACACAACAGGATTAATTTAAAGACCAAAAAAAGTGGATTTTGCARGATATGTCTCCTTTTAAGTGGGGTTCTATGAAAATGTTACGAGCAGTCAATATCTTACCTGTTGTAAATAACTGTTCCCAATTTGGAGAAATGAAGCTAAATTCTGATTGGACAGTCGGTCTTACAATTCCAATCTTAGAAGTTCATTGTGGTTCGAGCTAATGTTAGTGCTTTTATTAAACATTTAAATGTACATCAGTTTATTACAAGAAATATATGAAATATCACGCAGGAAGTGCATGTCTGTTTCCACTAACTGGTCTTGCTTTACATTATTTACATAAAATTATTAGAACAAGATCCTGTTTAAAATATACTTATCTGTGCCATAACATTAATGTTTATTAACACAAATGTTGTACGTTTTTTAAAACAAAACCACAAACGTCAGCTTCAACTATGTCACATTGTTCAGTTTACTGGTTTTATAAAAAAAAAAGACCTATAAAACACTTCTGTAGTGTTTAAACAAGCAGCACAGCAACTGTTGAAACGTGGCTACAGCATAGTTTTACCCTTTTTTTTCATATTTAGACCTAAATGTTGCAAATAGTTTTAATTTTAATTTCTTAGCTCATAAAATATGAGACATCTAGATAATAAAGYTATTTAGTTACAAAGTTATTTTTTTTACAAAGTCTGAAAACCACAATGATGACGGTCGTTAGCATTAGCCTTGATTAGCCTGCTAGCTCAGGCTGCAATGCATTATGGTCCAATTCCACTTCTGTCTACATTTACTGAATGAGTCTGAGGGAACTTTATTGTGAAGGAGGGAACATTTCATCACTTCCTGTTTCTCCAAACTGAGGTGATTTATATTTACAACAGGTAAGATGTTAATTGTTCGTAACTGCTCACTAAAATCTCTCTTGAAAAGAGCTCTGCTTCAGATTATTATTATTATTATTATTATTAATTTTTAGATCAGTATGCAGCTGATCAACAGGGCAACGGGAACCTCAACAACGGCAACAACAACAACAACTGGCAGGACTCCCTCTTCCTCTTCGTGGCCATCATCTTCTTCTTCTGGCTGCTGAGTGTGTGACGGCGTCTGGGAGGGAGGAGCCTGAGGAAAAAAACACAAAACAAACTCGACTCGAGCCACAGACACACAACACGAGCTGCAACCTGGGAGAGCGCAGAGTGTTTGGTTCCTTTTAAAAACAAGAAAAACAGGTTTTCTCCTCCTCCTCTTTGTGAAAATAAACCACTGCCCCGACACACAAACACACACATACCTGCTGTGTTAATTCTGTTTATGCAAAAACCACCGAC